CCCCATCCTCTATCAAGGCATATTAAAATTCTATTTTGCAATTACAGTTTCAACCAGTTTACCTGTTTGAAGGCTTATTGTGTAGAGTTTGCAGCTTCACCCCCACTTCTCTTTTTAAAAATAGGTACAACATTTGCTACCCTCCAATCCCGTAGTTGATTTCAATGAGAGTTTGCATATATTTGTTATCAACTCAGTCATTTCATTCCAAAGTTTCTGCAGAATTTTTGGATGCAATCTCTGCTCCTACTGCTCTTTAATTTAGATACTTAGTTATTTGCTCTGAGACCTTCTCTTCTGGTACCTCAACCTCATCTTTCTTACCTAAATCCAGTGTAGGTGTCTCCCCAACATCCTCTGTGGTGCAGATGGTTTAATAATTCTCCCACCAACAGAAATGCTTTCTAATATGACAGAAAGCTAATTGCTGGCTTCCTTTCTAAGGCAGGGTATTCATAGCCCTTTCAAGTTGATGCTGCTCCACAGGCTGATACTTACAACGCTAATCCTTTTACTTTGCTCTTTTAAATAAATCAGATAGTTTATGCCATTGAGAGTTTGCTATTCACACTCTAACTCTAAGACCAGGAATGTGGTCTGCATACATCAGTATTTAAATTGTTCACAGTGCCATGGGCTGTTCTCATAGGGACTTTTCATCAGATATAAACCACCACATTCCTGTCAAAATTATATCAAAGCATTTCAAAGCATATATTTGAACAGCCTGGTATTTATGAGTAAGTATAGGACTGCCAAAAATATTTTCCCACTTTGCTCTGCTAGTCTAACTCAGCTAAACATTAACATGGTTTGGAATAGGCTAATGTATTAACAGGTGTGTTGTGAGCAAGACACGAGAAGTCATTCTTCCACTCTACTCTGCGCTGGTTAGGCCTCAACTGGAGTATTGTGTCCAGTTCTGGGCACCGCATTTCAAGAAAGATGTGGAGAAATTGGAGAGGGTCCAGAGAAGAGCAACAAGAATGATTAAAGGTCTTGAGAACATGACCTATGAAGGAAGGCTGAAAGAATTGGGTTTGTTTAGTTTGGAAAAGAGAAGACTGAGAGGGGACATGATAGCAGTTTTCAGGTATCTAAAAGGGTGTCATAAGGAGGAGGGAGAAAACTTGTTCACCTTAGCCTCTAAGGATAGAACAAGAAGCAATGGGCTTAAACTGCAGCAAGGGCGGTTTAGGTTGGACATTAGGAAAAAGTTCCTAACTGTCAGGGTGGTTAAACACTGGAATAAATTGCCTAGGGAGGTTGTGGAATCTCCATCTCTGGAGATATTTAAGAGTAGGTTAGATAAATGTCTATCAGGGATGGTCTAGACAGTATTTGGTCCTGCCCTGAGGGCTGGGGACTGGACTCGATGACCTCTCGGGGTCCCTTCCAGTCCTAGAATCTATGAATCTATGAATTTACTAGTCAAAATTACTCTAGAGAGCTTGATTCAGTTCTAAGATACTATGGTCATCAATCCCTTGAACTGTACTTGGTACAGGAGAGCAGAATTTTCAGAAGTGTTCTGCAATGGCCTAACTGCTGCTGCAGACGTCAATAAGAGCATTGACTTGACCCTTGGTATGTGAGCATGGATTATTGACATGAGCAAGGATGGCAGGACTGGGCACTATCAAAGAAGTTAAACATTTCCAAATACAGTGTAGAGTTTTCAGTACTTCCAGGTTGAGGCGGAAAGCCAAACAACTGGATAGAACAGCACCAAAAGCAAGTGAATTAAAAACATCTTGGAAACAAAGCTAATAGGTTTGCCAAGTTAATACAGAAACATCACTCTCAAGCTGGCAGCTTCATACTAAAACTCAAGATAACTTCTGAATCCGAGACATCTGTATCCAGACTAAAGCAGAGACTAATGACCAGTGCCAAATGAGAATAAAGAATAAACACAAAATCTGCAGTGACTCAAAAATTAAGGTATTTCACATCCATTACTATGATTTAAAGATGGAAAACAGTAGAACGGTAGTGTTCATCCTTATAAAAATCACTGTCATATTTTTGAAATTCGGCTATTTTATTGTGTGACAGTCTATTTCCAATCAAATTCCCATTTTCCCTGAATAAAGTCATCTTACTGGACACGATACATCTACATCAGTTTTAAGTAGTGACTTTTAAGGGGCTTTGAGTTTCAAAACATTGTAAATCAAGCATTCATTCTTGAGAATTACCAGTTCTTCTTATGTAGCTATTATTTGATGGATATCGTTTTAATTGGTTATTTAAAATATCATTTGTGAATTATATCTATTACACACAGGCACACACCCTTTCCCTTTTTGACCTCCAAATTATAGCTTTATATATTTAATCTAGAGGTTTGAAAGAAAGCTTAAACACTGTTCAAAAGAGATTTTAATTCCCAACTTCAGACATTAATAAGTTAATTTTGCTGCCCGATAGTTTCACTTCTTAAGTACTTCAGGTATTTCTAGCGGCATTGTGACGTGACTGTCTGGCTGCCTTTAAAAAGGTACACCGAGTTATACATAACTATTCAAGAGCTAACAACCCAGCGATGTAAGATTTGCTTCACCATGACAGGGCTATCTGTTTAGGCATTCAACTAATTGGTGGGAAACAACCTACAATATTGCAGTTTACCCCCTGGCATTATAGCTTCTTGAGTCTTATTCCATAAATACGTTTCACTGGAAGGCAATTCCTTATTAATTTGTTTTCACTGATATCCTTAAGGAGATCCCTTACACCTTATGTCTTTTCTTCGTTTTCATTCAGCTTTGCAGACCTGTTAATCAATCACTGCGAGTGGGGAGGAAAAGGGAACTTTCAAATAAAATCCAGACGGCCATATCCCAAGCCAATCCAAGAAGCAAACAATTGTGCAACATCTCCAGCAGTTCTTTGCAATCGCTCAGTTCAAATTAGCATCATCGCTGCACACAGAGCCTCGGAGTTAAGTGCAGCCAGCACTGTAATCTTCAATAAATACAAACTCTTCAACCCAGCCATGGCCCCCAAATCCATACCCCGGGGGATCTCCACCCACAGTGAGCACCTAAGGGAGCTCCCGGAACCTTCGCGCGTCTCCATTTAGGTCCCCCCCACAGAATCCCACTCTCAGTGGGTCAATGAAAAGAGCAAAGCCCCCCCCCCCACACACACACACTCTCTACTACCCAGCTCATCCCCCTTCGCCTCCAGCCGCTCTGCCGTGCTGCCACTGAAGTGATGGGAACGCGCCGTCAGCACCCTGGAGAGCTCCCTGGGCGCAGCCAGTGGGGGTGGGGGGGCAGCACCTAGGAGAGCCGCCCGAGGGCAGCCAGCACCTCCTCCCCCCCCCACCCCCCGGACATGCCCTTTGGACCAGCACCCCCCAGCCCAATGACCTTTGGCCATGCTCCCTCTGCCCCCCGCCCTCTCTACCCTATGGCCAGCAACACCCCAGTCCTACTCCCTCTTGGAACCAGCCCTGCTCCCCCCA